GCCTGGGGGTGTAACTCAAGTGACAAAGTGCTTGCCTAGCATGTGCAAAGCCCAATGTTTGACCTCCAGTACCAAACACATACATACACAAAAAATAATAGCATAAATAAAGTGAAAAGTAAGATAATAAAAACTAAAAATCATCTTCAAGCTATCTAAACTGAGGATCTTAAGAAAAAGTTGAAGATCATCTCTGAGGAAACAGTAACTAGTGAGGCTTCTAAGTTTCAATCTAATGCTATTTGGTGAGGTTACTTGTGGCTTGGCTCTCAGAATGTGCTCTCAGTACTGGAGATGCTGCTTTCAATGCAATAATATTTTAGTTTCAGTTGTATCTGTCCGCTTTCCTCCCTCTAGCTTCGACAGACCATGGCTAAGTTCCTTCAGGAGCATCTGGCTCCCAAGGCCCAGGAAATTGATCATAGCAACGAGTTCAAGAACCTGCGAGTGAGTCAGAAGGTTGGGACGGGGGCATTTGGGAGCTAGGCTGAGTTGCACTGCTGCCTGGAAGGGCTCACACCATCTCTTGGTAAAAAGAAGCCTCGCTAAGAAGCATTTGGTCTTATTGCAGCCACAGGTAGCTGGCTGCCTTCTCACAATTCCCTCTACTCCCTTCTGTTGATAGGAGTTTTGGAAACAGCTGGGGAGCCTGGGAGTATTGGGCATCACAGTCCCTGGTAAGTATAGCTTCTTTTCCTAAAAATAACTTTCCTTGTGTGCGTACTTACACAATTCCCAAAGGAAGGAGGAAGGAAGGGAAAGATTGTGCCCAAAGACACCGACAACATTTTTTTTTTTCCAAAATTCTGTGGGTCAGCTGGGTATGGTGGTGCGCACCTGTAATCCCAGCAGGAGGCTGAGGCAGGAGGATCACAAGTTCAAAGCCAGCCTCAGCAAAAGCCATGCAACTCAGTGAGACCCTGTCTCTAAATAAAATACAAAATAGAGGTGAGGATGCGGCTCAGTGGTTGAGTGCCCCTGAGTTAAATCCCTGGTACACCCAAATAAAAATTCTCTAGGTCAAACAGTTGTCCTAGAGTATCTATTTTACTATCATAATTTCTAAGTTCTGTTCAAAGAATTGCTTCTAGACAGGAACAGTCAGGGCAGGTATATCCCTATAAGGACTGCCTGAGTCTTATCCCTGGAAATCATTGGGATGAGAGGGATGTCTGTTTGGGCCTTCAGGTAAAGTGGCCAGAGGATATGTTTAATAGGTTCTCTATGGTCTGCCCATTGCCCACTGTGGGTCTTACTACTTGTTTTTATGGGTAGAGGACATGGAGCTGGTGGCCTCTGGTTCAAGTATTGGCTTCTAAGGAGAGTCCAGCCTGGCTTTCTGTGCCCTATAAAGAACTGAGCCTTTGACCACCTCAACCAAGCCTGGAGAGCCCACCATACTCAGGCCTATATTTACTGTGGATATGAGAGTAAGGGTGGAACACGATATAGTCAACTTTTTCTTCTCATTAGTCCCTAAACAATAAAGAATAGCAACTATTTATATAATAAGTAATATATATAATAATAAGTAAATATATAATAAGTAATCTAGAGATGATTTAAAGGATATGGGAGGATGTGCTTCAGTTTTATGCAATATGACAACATTTTACATAAGATACTTAAACATCCTTGGATTTGGGTATCTATGACAGGTCCTGAACCAATGCCCTGATATCGAGGGTCAACTGTATATTTCACCTTGTCTCCTCTTCAGTACTCAGAGTAGGTTAATTCCTTGATTTTGAGCTGATTATAGAAAGTTAGATATTTACAACATGGTCAGGACACGATGGTGCACACCTGAACCCAGCGGCTCAGGAGTCTGAGGCAGGAGGGTTGCAAGTTGAAAACTGGCTTCAGCAACTTAATGAGGCCCTAAGTGACTTAGTGAGAGACCCTGTCTCTAAATAGAATATAAAAAGGCTGGGAATGTGGCTCAGTGGTTAAGTACCCCTGGGTTCAATTCCCGGTAACAAATAAATAAAGTTACAACATAAATAATGATAAAATGAAACCATTTAAAGATTTAGATCATCTTAATGTAAAATAACTGGGGAGGGAAGGTTGCTAGGGGCTTCTAAACCAGAATCTTCCATTATAATTTATGAACCCTACTCACCTACTCCAAGAATTTGTGAATCAGAATATGTTTAAAGGAAAAAAGAGGCAATTAGAAACCATGAGCTGGGGGTGTAGCTCAGTGGTAGAGTGTGTGTTTAACATTTATGAGGCCCTGGGCTTGATCCCTAGGACCACATTTAAAAGGAAAGAAAGGACAGGCACGATGGCTGACTCTTATAATCGCAGAGACTGAGACAGGAGGATCATAAAAAAGTCTAGAGAAATATCTCAGTGATGAAGTACCCCTGGGTTCAATCCCCATTACCAAAAAAAGAAAGAGAGAAGGAAAGAAAGAAAAAAAAGAATGGCTGGGTTTGTGGCTCATTAGTAGAGCACTCGCTTAGCATGTATGAGGCACCGGGTTCAAACTATCCTCAGCACCACATAAAAATAAATGAACAAAATAGAAGTATTCTTTAAAAAATCATAAAAGAAAGAAATCAGATAAAATCCTTTGTGGGGAAGTATTTCTTTATTTATTTATATTACCAGAGATTGAACCCAGTGAATCCAATGGCACTCTACCACTGAGATTTATTCACAGCCCTTTTCAATTTTTTATTTTAAAACAGGGTCTCACTAAGTTGCCAAGGCTGATTTTGAATTTGCTATCCTCTTACCTCAGCATCTGACTCAGGCATGCACTACCACGCCCACCTTCAAGGGAAAACTTTTAAAAGAAAGCCAGGGGGCTGGGGTTGTGGGCTCAGCGGTAGAGCTCTTGCCTAGCATGCATGAGGCTCTGGGTTCAATCCCCAGCACCACATTAAAAAAAACTAAATAAACAAAAGAAAGCTATTGTGTCCATATATAACTAAAAATATTAAAAAAGAAAAGAAAAGAAAAGAAAAGGCTAGGGCTGGGGCTATAGGTCAATGGTACAGCACTTACTAGCCTGCATAAGGCTCTGGGGTTCAATGCCCAGCCCCACAAAATTTAAAAATCCCCATATGAGTCCTGGTTCCTACATGATAGTCCTGGTGGCTGTTTCTAACGTCCCCTTCCTTTTTGCTTTCCTTCATGGAGTTGTGATCAGACCAAGCTTTCCCTAGAGCCTTTCCCTGGTTTCCTAGTCATAGTGAACATGTGCGCAGAGCTTTGCCAGGCTTTACCTAAACAGTGGGATAGAGGATAGTACTAGATGATCTTGCCTCTTTGATTTGGGATTTTCTATCAAAGACAAACATCATTTTTATGGAGAGTTCTGAAATGTCCTGCTAGTATCTCTTCTGCTCTTTGCCATACAGCTTACCTCTAGAGTTCCTCTCAGGCTCTGGCTGTCCTGGCTGTTACCAGTCCTACTTCTTTGGATCCAAAGCCATACCATTAAATATTACTTTCTTGAGGCTGTTAAACAGACAGACTTGGATTTATATCTGGTTTTGGTGCTTTAAACACACAGTCCTGTGCTCATTTTTGTGTTCATCAGACTGGCTCTCTTTCTTTCTTCATCTGCCTCTGTCTTTCTGTAACTTTTATAATAGTGGGTGCTTGGGGTTTTTGCTTGTCTCCACGTAAGTGTCTGAAATAAAAACAGATTTGGCAATGATTGACTTCTGAACTTCAGCTCAGCCATCCAGCAACCGCAAACTGAATAGGTTCTGTGAGTCCTTGATATCAACCTGATAACATTGTTAGGGGAACTTAGAATAGGTGCTACAAGTGTGTCTCTTTTCTGCCAATTAATTTAAGATTCTGTCAATATCTCAATTTTATCTGACTGCCTTTCTACTCTCCTGCACTGTCCCTCTCGCAGTTCAGTATGGTGGCTCTGGCTTGGGCTACCTGGAACATGTGCTGGTGATGGAGGAGATATCCCGAGCTTCTGGAGCAGTGGGTCTCAGCTATGGTGCCCACTCCAACCTGTGCATCAACCAGATTGTGCGCAATGGGAATGAGACCCAGAAGGAGAAATACCTCCCCAAAGTAAGGAAATGGGAATGAAGAAAGCCATGCTGCAACTACCCACAGCAAGGGGCTCTTTTCCATTGGTAGGGGCCAATCAGACTTGGTTTCTGTACTTTGCTGCCACAAATACAGTTAGGAAGGATCCCATGGTTGTTTTAAAACATTTGAGTCAAAAATTGAAAATAGGGCTAGATACAGTGGTGCACACCTATAATCCCAGCGACCTGGGGGATTGAGGTAGGAGAATTGTGAGTTCAAAGCCAGCCTCGGCAACTTATTGAGCCACTTAGCAACTCATCGAGATCCTGTCTCTAAATAAAATAT